TGGTCCTGCTGTCTAGGTCATGGCCCCTCTGGCCTTGGCTCCAGAGAGAGCCGGCCAACCTTGCTTTAAGTCCCGGGTTGGGGGCACTGCCTTGGTTCTGGTCTCAGGGCCAGTGTTACTGTCTAGAGAGCTTTAAACACACCCGGCTACTTCAGTTTACTTGAACCCAGGCCCTCACGCTTACTAGGCAAGGGGTCTAGTACTTGAGCCATGCCCTCCCTGTCTTTTTCTTTTTTGGCAGTAGTGGGGATTGAACTCAGGGCCTCACGCATACAAAAGCAGGAGCTCTACCACTTGAGCCACTCAGGCAGCCTCTTGCATTGATTATTTTGGAGATAGCATCTCACTTCATACCCAGGCTGTGATCCGTCTATTTGGGGTACCCTTCGTCACCAGGATGGCAGGCTTGTGCGGCTCTCTCTGGCCGCTGCGGGAGGCTGAAGTGGTAAACTTTTATGCCTGTGCTGGCCTTACACCACAGTCCTCTGATCTCCACCCTCCAAGTAGCTAGGATGATAGGACTGAGCCCGGCCTTGGCTCTTCCTTAACATTTTTATTTTGTTTCTGAGAGAGGACCTTGCTTGCTTTGCTGGCGTTGGCTTCCACCTCTCAACCCTCCTGCCTCCAACTCCAGAGCAGATTTTCTGGGATTATAGGTGTCTACCGAATGTGTTGGGCTCCAACATGCTAATTAAGTCAGAACCTACCACGTGAGCCATAGCTCCCCTTCTGGCTTTTTGGTGGTTGATTGGAGATCACAGTCTTAGGGACTTTCCTGCCAGGGCTGGCTTCAAACCTCCATCCTCAGATCTCACCATCCTGAATAGGATTACAGGCGTAAGCCACCAGTGTCCAGCTAAATCCTAGTTTTAAAAACTCCCCGTGTGTTGGCAGTCTGCAGCCAAGTGTGAGAGTCATGGTTCACAGCTGCCTAGAAAGTCTGTCCTGTGTTAACCTGAGTTTCACAAGACCAAGGGCCTGGCTTTCTTCTCCCTCTGCCCCAAGTAGCCTGGCCCAGTGAGCACTGCTGGTTTCTTGCTTGCCTGCCTCCCTCCCTCTCTTCCCCTCCCTCCCTTCTCCCCCTTCCCTCCCACTTGCCCTCCTTTCCTTCCTCCCAACTTAGGGTCTAGTGGCCTGAGCAGTGCAGGCTGGCTGTGGGCTGCGGAGGCCAGGGCTTTGAGGGGAACCCCCAGCTGTGTGGTTGTCCTGTGGGGGGCAGGGAGCCCTGAGACTGCCAGCTCTGCACCCAACACGGTGTGGGCCCTGAGAGGGGGGCTGGGGCGCCCTGCCCGGGGATTCTCAGCCCAGGGCTGCTGGAAGGGGCGGCGCTGGGCGTGTCTGTGTGGCCTGTCCTCTGCCTGCATCCTGCCATCGCGCGTGGTAGCGCGTGGCCTCCGTGGGTGTCAGAGCCGCCCTGCCTTGCGGCCTCAGCCCGGGCTTCTCCCCCACCCTCTGGCTGATCAGAGCCGTGGGGTCAGAGCACCGCCGATCTAGGGGCGGGGAAGATCCTGAACCTCAAAGCCACCGTGTCCACGCCACCAGCTGGCCACCGGCCCCCGACCTCGGGCGGGCCTGTCCTGGCAGGCGCTTGGCCTCTGTGCGGGGCCCTGGGCTCAAGCTGCCCCCCCCCCGGCCCAGCTCCCACCCGGTGGCCGGCACTCCGTGCGGGCAGACGGCAGCCTGCGCCTGGACGGCGCCCTGCAGGACGACGCGGGCACCTACAGCTGCGTGGCCACCAATGTGGCCGGCGCCCAGCACCGGGACGTGAAGCTGGCGGTGCAGGGTGAGTCCCGGGCGTGTCCCGGGCGGTGGGCGTGGCGTGGCGGTGGGCGTGGCGTGGCGGTGGGCGTGGCGGTGGGCATGGCGGGGGCGTGGCAGGTGCTGAGGAGCCAGCCCCTGAGCTGCTGTCCACCAGAGCTGACTGCCTGTGCTGTGGGCGTGGCGGTGGGCGTGGCGGTGGGCATGGCGGGGGCGTGGCAGGTGCTGAGGAGCCAGCCCCTGAGCTGCTGTCCACCAGAGCTGACTGCCTGTGCTGTGGGCGTGGCGGTGGGCGTGGCAGGGGCGTGGCGGGCGCCGAGGAGCCAGCCCCTGAGCTGCTGTCCATCAGAGCTGACTGCCTGTGCTGTGGGCGTGGTTTGCGGTGGGCGTGGCGGGGGCGTGGCGGGCGCCGAGGAGCCAGCCCCTGAGCTGCTGTCCACCAGAGCTGACTGCCTGTGCTGTGGGCGTGGCGGTGGGCGTGGCGGTGGGCATGGCGGGGGCGTGGCAGGTGCTGAGGAGCCAGCCCCTGAGCTGCTGTCCACCAGAGCTGACTGCCTGTGCTGTGGGCGTGGCGGTGGGCGTGGCAGGGGCGTGGCGGGCGCCGAGGAGCCAGCCCCTGAGCTGCTGTCCATCAGAGCTGACTGCCTGTGCTGTGTGCGTGGAGCACAAGCTCAGCATGTGCGGGAAGGAGCGTGGACTCTATTGGCGCAGACCTGTCACGCGTGGACACTGCAGGATGACCCTGGCACACACCTTGGGACCGGAGGACAGGGGGAAGATGCATACATGTCCACACGCATGCACACACGCGCGCCCACGTGTGTGTGCACGCACATGCGTGTGTGCAGGCCGATCCTGGGCCTTGAACTGAGGGCCTGCGCCCCATCTCTGAGGTTGTTTTTGCTCCAGGCTGGCGTTTTTGCACTTGAGCCACAGCTCCACCTCTGGCTTTTGGCGGGGCAAGCTAAGCTAAATGCAGACATTTCCTGCCCAGCCTGGCTTCAAACCCCAGTCCTCTGACCTCAGCCTCCTGAGGACAGGCTGGGCTGTGTGGGTCTGGGCTGTGGTGACGCCGGCCGCTGGCCGGCTGGTTTATGGAGTTGTTCTGTTCTTCAAAGTGCCACCTCGGATTCACCCGGCCGCCACCCACCACGTCACCAACGAAGGGATCCCGGTCTCTCTGCCCTGCGTGGCCCTGGGGGTCCCCCCGCCCGCCATCACCTGGACCAAGGTGGGTGGGGCCCCCAGGGAGCCAGCCCGGTGCATCATGGGAGGAGATGCAGCGCTGCTGACTCTGTCCTCGGCCCGGCCCAGGACGCCCGCACCCTGAGCATCGGCGGCCGCTACAACGTGAGCAGGGATGGCAGCCTGGTCATCGTCCGGCCATCACCTGGGGACACAGGGACCTACGTGTGCACAGCCACCAACACCGTGGGTTTCTCCAGCCAGGAGATGAGGCTCTCGGTGAACAGTGAGCAGCCGGGGCTGGGGGGGGCCCAGCACCCCACCTCAGCCTGGGAGGGAGCCAGAGATCCTGGACCACAGCTGGGCAGCCCCCTCGCCCGTCTCTCTTCCCACCCTTCTCTATCCAGGACCCTCCGGCCTCCTTCCCATTTCTAGAAGGTCCAGCCTGCCTCAGGGCCTTTGCATGTGCTCTGTCTTCTTTTTGCGGGATTTCCTCTCTGAACAACTTAGGTCTGGGCGCATGGGAGGGGTAGGCAGGGCTGGCCCGATGTCCGGGTTGTTTGTAGGGGGGCTCTTGCTCCCATGTGGGGGGCTACAGACAAAGGGTCAGAAGCCATCCCTGTCATCCGGGGTTCGTGAGCCTGGTGTGAGAGAGGGTCTTGCTCACAGCCCTGGTGCTTTCCCCATCAGCCAAGCCCACCATCAAGGTGAACGGCCCGCACGGCGCAGACACAGCCCTGAGCGTGACAGCCTGGGCCGGAGAAGGGGTGACTCTGGACTGTGAGGCCCAGGGCTCCCCGGCTCCGCTGGTCACCTGGACCAAAGACCAGCAGCCTCTGCCGCTCGGCACCGACAGGTACCCGGGGCCAGCGCGTGGCCGTGGGAAGGGGAGCTTGGGCTGGCTTCTGGTGGGCCAGGACATGGCTGTGGAGGGGCCTTGTGCACATGGCACGGGAAGCGGGGGTCCCTTCTGCAGGGAGGACTTCCATGCATGGGACGCGTCTGTGGGTGCGTGGGAGCTGGGCCCTGAAAACCACACTTGGGCAGGGCACCCACGCTGGGTGCAGCCCTTGTTCCGGAACTAAATCAGGAAGCCGAGGTTGAAGGGTGCGACCTGACTTGGGGGTGGGATGTGGGAGGGGGGCGCTGTAGAAAAGCAAACCTCCCAGGTCCTTGGCCGGGGGTGGGGGTAGGGAGGGCCAGGCCATGGTGATGTCATCCCTGGAGAGGTTTCTGGTACATTCTAGGCCAAGAAGGCCTCCAGCAGCCGCCTCCCCACGCGTCTGCATCTCCGGACATCTGTGCGCCCAGCCGGCCAGGCTTTGCAGCCTGAGGCCCCAGATGCACCCCGGACAGACAGGAGGCGGGGGTGGGGGAGCCCCACGAGCCCCCCTCGCTGGGTGGTGATTTCCGGGCGCGTCTCCCTCATTCGCTCCTCCTCGCTCCGCGTGTTAATGGGCCCGGCGGGAGCCATCATTCCACAAAAAGCTGCTTTTGCCTTTGTGCCGTTTGTTCTGCGACTGCTCCCCAAGGCCTGGCCCGCGGCCTGGCGCCGGTGATTTATGGCATTCCAGGGTTCATCTGCACGGGGGGGGGGGGTGGCTGCCCTGGAGTTGATCTAACCCGGACTCCATGTGCCGGGGCCCCGGAGCCCGCCAGCTTTCCACGCTGAAATCACTACTCCCAATAGCCTTGCCGAGCGCTGGGCTCAGGCCTGTCATCCCAGCCACTCAGGAGGCCTAGAACTGAGGACCGCGGTTCCCAGCCAGCCTGGGCAGAGAAGTCTAGGAGAGCCTTATCTCCGGTGAACCACCAAAATGCCAGAAGTCGGACTGTGGCTCAAGTGGTAGAGCTCCAGCTGTGAGTGAAGAAGCCAAGCTTCTAAGAAGGCCAGGCCCTGCGTTCACACCCCAGTCCCAGCACCCATGAGTCTTTTTGTCTCATAGGTGAAGGATTCGCACCCAGTACCTGTACCGGGGTCACGAGTGCAAGCCCATGATTTCCATTGCATCTGGGGTGGGGCAGTGGCTGCCATGGTCAGTCCTGAACTTGCTAGGTAGATGCTCTAGCATCCAAACCACGTCCCCAGCCTTGAGTTAATTTTTAGATAGAGTCTTGAGGCTTTTCTCGGGACTGGCCTCCAACTGTAATCCTTCTACCGAGGGCCTTCCATGTAGCTGGCCTTGACCTGTGTGATCCTCACAATCTCTGTCTCCTGAGACGCTGGGATTACAAGTGTGAGCCACCGTGCCCAGCTGGGCCCTCTCTGTCTGTGGACTGACTCACTTATCCGATATGTGGAACACTGTGTGGTCTTTGGCGTCCGCCTCTCCCGCCCAGTGTAATGCTTTCCAGCCGCTGAGCGGCTTCAGTGTTTCTAGCTGAATAATATTCCCCAGCATCCCCGGCTGAAGGAGCTTCGGGATCTTTCCAGCAGCGGGCGATTGTCAGCAGCCTCCACTTTTGAGAGGATTTGAAACTTCCCTGGCTGTTGACGGATCTTTTACTTAATTTTTGTCGGTTGTGGGGCTTGAACCCTGGGCCTGGGCGCTGTCCCTCAGCTCTTCAGCTCAAGGCTAGCGTTCTGCCACTTGAGCCACAGTGCCACTTCCAGTTTTCTGGGGTTTATTGGCGATGAGAGTCTCACAGACTTTCCTGTCCAGGCTGGCTTTGAACCAGGATCCTCAGATCTCAGCCACCTGAGTAGCTAGGATGACAGGTGTGAGCCTCCGGCGTCCCGTTACGGAGGGTGCGGTGGCGGGGGGTGGGTCCTCCCCACAGCCGGAGCGGGCACGCAGGACAGAGGGCAGCACTGGCGGGTGTGGCCTTGCTCCCCCGAGGCCTCCGCCCGTGCCGGGTGAGTGTGCACACTCACGCCCTCGCTCGGTCCGGCAGGCGCCCCACTTTCTCTGAACCCCTGGAGCACTGGCCCTCTGGGTCGGAAGCCGGGGTTTCAGGCAGACGCGGGGAGCAGGGTCATCGGCCGGGATCCCCCCAGACGCCCAGGCCTACGCTGGCCGCTCAGTGTCCTGGGGTCCCCCTCCAGCCCCTCCCTCCACTGCGCCCGCCCCGTCTAAATGGGGAGACTGGCGTGCCCACGCTCTCCTCTCCTCCTGCCTTTTTCTTGGGGGGCTCCACCCGAAAGCGGGTGGGGTTGGGGTGTCTGAAAAGCATCTCACCCCGTGCCTAGCACCGAGGCCAGCCGGGATCCGAGGCCCGGACTGTCTGTCCCTCCTGTGTGAGATTCCCAAGGAAGGGCTGGGCAGGGGTGGGAGGCGTGTTGCTAGGCAACTGTGTTTGTTTGGGCTTCTGGGGCGGGACTGAGACAGCTGTGAGTGAGACCAAGCCAGGGCCCCTTCCCTGGGCTGGGCGGCCGGGCAGGGCTGCCCGCTCCTGCCTCTGTGTCCCCCTCCCCTGCCCACTCCCCACCACACCCCTCTCCTGGCCGGCCCAGCCATCGCCCGGGTCCTGGGATGGGAGGGACACTGGCCAGTGCGCGGGAGCCCATGCAGGGCCCCTGCCTCCCTCCGGTCTCCCTGGTCCTGCAGGTCTGGCGCCTCTAAAGTCTAGCCTCGCCAACCTGCGTACGGTGTTGAGTGGGTCTGTGGGAAAGCGTTCTGATTCTGTGGACCCTGCTGTGCATGGGAGCGGGGCCCAGCGGCCTGGGGCTCTGGTCGGCCAAGTGGCTCTGGACAAGGCAGCCCTATGCTGCTGGGCTCCGGGATTCACCCCTGTAATCCCAGCACCTCAGGAGGCTGAGAACAGAGGATCACAATTGGAGGCCAGCCTGGGCAAAAAGGTTTTAAGATCCCATGTCAACCAGTAAAAGAGCACAGGGACAGACTGCCCAGCAGCTCATGAAACACACACAGGGGAGACGAGGTCCAGGCCAGTGTCGGCACCACGTGGGAGCCCCTACCCTGAAAATGGCTCCTCCCCCTCCTCCTCCTCCTCC